ACGTTTTACACTTCGTTACAAGTTACTAAAGCCATGATATGTTAACAAACATGATGTAATGGTTAACGTTTCACACTTCGTTATAGGTTACTATAGTCATGATATGTTAAACAGGTTGTAAAGGTTAACGTTTTACACTTCGTTTTAAGTTACTAAAGCCATGATATGTTAACAAACAGGATGTAATGGTTAACGTTTTACACTTCGTTATAAGTTACTATAGTCATGATATGTTAAACAGGTGGTAAAGGTTAACGTTTTACACTTCGTTATAAATTACTAAAGCCATGATATGTTAACAAACAGGTTGTAAAGGTTAACGTTTTACACTTCGTTATAAGTTACTAATGTCATGATATGTTAAAAACAGGTTGTAATTGTTAACGTTTAACAGTTCGTTATAAGTTACTAAGGCCATGATATGTTAAACAGGTTGTAATTGTTAACGTTTAACAGTTCGTTATAAGTTACTAAGGCCATGATATGTTAAACAGGTTGTAAAGGTTAACGTTTTTACACTTGGTTTGTTTGCAGAGAAATATTTCAATATTTCAGTGAAATATGTTACAAACGCTAAGCTTATTCTTATATTTTACCATTTTCACACGTTAACGTGTATTACACGAATGACTGTTAGCCAGTACAGGTGACTGATAATTAATGTTATTAATATTTACCTTCTGCTCTCGTTACAACAACATAACCTAACATTAGTGTGACGTCATCACTTCTAAGAAGCTCCACATCTTTCACTGCTATCGGAGCCAGTATTGGTTTTCCATCACGTGACACGGTATATACGAGCATCACGTGCTTTAAATCACTGTCCCCGGTGTAGTTCCATAGCTGAAGACAAAACACGTACTTTAAATTATCATATGATATGTCTATGAATATGTTATGCTTAAAAGTGAAAATTAGTACTATTGAAAAAAAAAGACAACTTCAAAGCTTGCAGAAATGACGCGAAATAAAAAGTCAAATCAACTAACTTTTAAATACGTGTCTTACAGTATTGATTTCTTAGTGATGGAACACAAACTACAGTGATTTTGTTGGATACAAAGAAAGACCATTAAAAATTATAAACTTGTATACTTATTATAAATTTAAAGATGACCAAAAATTTATGCTTAAATAAGATTCTAGAGCAAAATAACAAATAAAGAATCGTATAAGTTTGTTTTGAGCACATAACAAAGCGCGGATAGTTAATTCTGTAACTTTACACTAAAAACAAAGAAACAACAATCGAGCTACACGGTTAATAGTAGCTTCATAAGCGGCCGGTGCTGTTGCTTTATTGCCCTCCCTCTGTCCAGCTGTTCTAAATTAGGAATGGTTATGCTGAGCCTTACTTTCTGACCTCACACTTTAGCCCACGTGTTGTGTAAGCGAGCCACTTAGTTTGTATAAAATTACGTCATTAAAATCAATCCTTTCTGGAGCGAATAATTACATTATTTTTTTCGTTTGCTGCATGATTGAAGTGCCGAACAGAAAAAGCCCCATGTGGTTACTTATTCCTCTACAAGTCGCGCACAAGTTACTGTTATTATTATCTTTTTTTTTCTAGATGTGGCTACTTGTTCCTCTACAATGTTTATGTGGTGTTTTTTAATAGACTCCACTAGTGTGTGTGCTAATGTTTATGTGGTGTTTTTTAAAGGACTCCACTAGTGTGTGTGCTAATGTTTATGTGGTGTTTTTTAAAGGACTCCACTAGT